CGAGCAACACAGACAATGCGGTGAATGGCGGGTGATGGATTGGACGGCCGCGACGGTGCTTCCCGTGTGCCATGAGCCAATCTCGACCTCCATCGCTCCGGACATGCCAAGAGCTGTGAAGCGAGGAACGACCGGTTGATGAAACATCTTTGCCTCGGTCGTTGTACAAACAGGCAGAGTTTCTGGCTGACAAGAGGCGTTTCCAGGACGCACTCACGGTCACACATGGAGGCAGATAGGCAGAGACAGAGGCACACTTACATGGGCTGTCGCATACACAGGCGCATAGCGGCGGGCCACGCCACGAGGGTGACCAGTCTCGTTCGTCCCCGACATCCCCCCTCGCTCTATCTAGGTCTTCCCCAGGAAAGGTTGCTTGCATCGCGCAGGCTGCCGGTCGACCGGCGGGCCGTGGTGCACCATTCTGTGGGGTTTGCCGCGCTGGATATGGCTATCAAGGCGGGAGACAACAGTCAAGGAGGACGAGGAGGCTGGGGAAACCTCGTCATCGGGGAGAACAAGACGGTAGGTTTGTTGGCGGGATACAATACTCCGTACATGGCATGGTGGCATGGCATAGAGGATGCAGGTGAGATGTTTATTCTCTGCTGCTGTCCTCGGACGATGGATGCACTCTACTTGATCCTTGTGTGATATCCGGGGTGTGGTGAATGTCTTTTGTCTGGGGTTGCTTGTTTTTTGCCTCGCGTGGTTACTTTCCTATTCTCCTTGTATGCCTCGCAGCTACAGAGTGAGTAGGCGGAATCCTGCCAACTGGGGCAGGGCATGTTTGTGTGTTGCGTTCTATGAGTTGATCTATATTTACACATTATTCTGATACCGGACGACGCGGCGCATTACTCGTTTGGGGAGGCTTGGATGAGAAAAGCCTCAGCAGTTGACGACTACTATTCGTCATGCTAGTTTCAGGATTTACGCGTTCGTTCCATCTGAGCCTGTTGCAGTACGTCTCGACTAGGTTGTCCCGTCTTGGCTCAGATGTACAGAGTGTACGAGTTGATGAGCCAAAAGAAGGTTCATTCAGCAAGACAGAGCGAGGTTGATGTTTGCAGCCCTGTCCAACTCTGGGCCATCTTGGCAGCGTGGGATTGGCAAACTCCCAAGACGGATTCAACCGATGCCAATGTTTGAGCACGTTGCAGATGCGACTCTTGGCTTTGACTCTTGGCTTTCTGCTTGCTCGGTTGTTGGTTGGCACAGAAAGGGCGTGAGGTGTTTTTTTTTTCTCGGCTTGCCGCCTTGGCTTGCTTCTAGCCACCCATGCCATGCACCATCTCACTGTTTCTCTTGGTGGCGGCGCATCGTGTGCGCCGTGCCCGATGCCAAGTAGAGAGCTCTAGACGGTGATGGAGCATGGACGTGATGGTGTTGAGGTGGTTTGATATGCGGGATAGACTAACTACAAGGTGGAACACTACACTCTTGCAGAGCTGCACGACTCACGCGGACTATGCAACCATACGCGCGGATATTCGTCTAGACTTTTGCTGCAGCAGATGCAATACATGCACGTCAGGTGTCGAGCTTTGCATTCCTCATCTTCCAGACCGTTGTGACCCGGCCGAGTTGGAGGTAGGATTCCAGACCCCATCTCCATCAGCCCACTTTTTTCTTTTTCTTCCATCGCCGTCAAGTCAACACCTCCGTCTCCCTTCAATGTCCTCGATGAGAGCGTGTCAATCTCAATTGTTTGTTTGTTTGTTTTGCATGAGAGGGTCTGACATCAAGCATTTGATCGTGGTCCGAGGCGACGGGCACTTCCGCTGCGCGTGATTGATTGCTTATTTTCTTTTGATTGAGCATCATTTTGCTCTTACGTATCCATTCCGTCTATTACAGCAATTGGAACCGCCTTTGTTACTTTCTTTTTACAGCTCATGCGAGTGCTTGATGAATATTTCCCACTCACGATCCTCTTTTTTTTCCTTCTTCTTCTTCCTCGTGTAACCGGACATGACCTACATAACTAACATGCACGACCAAGGGGTGGCGTTCGTGAATGGTTTGCGTTTTTGATGTCATGACCTTTGATAACGCGTGTGGGTATGCTAGTAAGATTACTACATGCTTTGGGCGTGGGACAACTGGAGCTTTGATTGGCATGCATTGGGATATTGCTCTGGATCCCCAGGGGATCCGCAAGTGTTGGTTTTCAGCTGGGGTCTTTTTCTTTCAGGGGTAGTGATGGTGGGCTCTTTCGTGAATAGTTGCATTCTCGACGTGTCCTCTAGTCTGTAGAACTCGGCGTCTTGGCGTCTCGTCTCTTGTTTTCTTTCTTTGGCGTCGTTGTAATTATAGTCAAGCTTCGATAGCGTTTGGTTTCCGCCAGTAGCGTTGGCCCGTATGCATGTCTGTAATGCTCGGGTTAAATACAGGGGGGGTCTTTTCCGGCATCAAAATCCTCCATGGATCATGGATACTTTTGATCGTCGTGTAGGTAATAGTAATGACAACCACCGATAAGGTAATAGTTTGTCTCCCCCGACTATTCCAGACCGCGTTTTTGTCGAGGCACAGTGTTGATCGACAAAAGACTCCTGAGATACGGCCGAGATGGCTCCCGGCAAGTTTACGACGGCGCGGTCACGATTGACTCCTCCCCGCCAGTTCTGACAAGGAGACTGTTAGGTCTATAGCATGATTGTTAGTATTTTAGAGTTAAATTGCGTCGTGTTGATCGAAATGGCCATCGTGACGAGGTGTTTGTCGTGATGAGCGCTACCCTACACCTTGACATGGAATCTGACTCGAAAGCTACCATGACTGTATATTTCCCCTTGTATACCTCATCGTATCTATTGACTAGTGTTTTGGTTAAGGACATGGCTGCTCTAGGTGATATGTTCTCGCCGAGATTGTAAAGAGCTTGTTGGCTTGGCGGTAGATCACAATGGTGATTGAAACAAGGGCAAGACTTACGGGATGAAAGCGAGAGGAGAGGGGTTCAGCAGTTTCGGCAATCAAGACATAGACTATTGATGCCAAGAGAAGAAGTAATGTCATACACGTAGAATTATCGATGTTCGGGATGACGATCTGTCACCATTGACGAGTGTCGGGTTGCCGATTGTTGATCTCAATCGCGTCTCCAAAAGAAGGCATCGGGCATAATGACGAAGAACCTAGTAAGCAATGAACGATAGCATTCATGTCAAATTGTAAAACACAGTAGTCTGGACATGATTAACCTTCCATAACGGCAGCTACAGAAGATGAGTGTTGAGTGGGCTTGCCAGGAGCGACAACACCATGTTCTGACGATATAGGGTAAGAGATGGGAGACGAAGAGGCCCGGCAATGAAGACACATACTGTCAATTGTGAATTAGTTACTGTGATAATTTGTGAGCTCTCGAATAGGAATAGTTGCGTCAACACCAGGTATACGATAGAGTTACCAGGATAACAACAGAGGCTTAACTGCCATACTTACGAATACACGTATATCACTTCTTACACGAACACGCACATGCACCTACACGCGAGCGTACACGGGTATATGAATATACACGATTGTAAAGCAATATCTCATACGAGACCAATCAGCGGGACTGGCGGTGTATCGCTGTTGATATATGTTGAGTGTGTTTTCCAAAGTGACAACACCACGAAGCCCACAACGACAGGCATCCACAACCAAAACAGATAAAAATATCAACCATGAAGGCTTGTGATACCCGCAAAGAATGAGGTCGTATCCGTATAGTTCATCAATCGGTTAATAACCGACAACTATCGGTGAGTGTCAAGCATGTTGGTTCACCGCCATGATACCACGACGAAACATCACGACATGTATCCATGACTAATGATAGACATACCACTGGTCAAATAGACCCCAAGAGCCTAATGGAAAGCGTTAGATATGCGTAGTACATGTATCGGCTACCAATGGATAATCGTTGATGAGTGTCAGGTGTGCTCACGAACATGACAGCACCACCAAACCTCATCAATACATCTGCATGACAAACAGTAGACAGCATACCGAATACCAAACCTAAAAATCTAAATAAACGGGCTAATACATGTGTAGTTTGTTCATCGGCTGCTAATGCACAACTATCAACAAGTGTCAAGTGTGCTCACCATGACAACACCACCAAACTTCATCACCTCTACCTGCATAAATAACTAACAAGAGATGGCATAGCTCAATAAGAGAGGCCTAAGAATCCATCTAAAATAAGCTGCTCTATCTAAAGTTTATTAAACAATGGACCAGCGGCATACAAGTGTAGATGAGCATCCACTGATCTCACTCAAGTGATAACATCAACAAACCCCATTAATATGTATACGACTACCGGGAGACTATACACTATATAGCTATCTACCCAGGCTTGAGGAGTCAATGAGAATGAGTACCCCCAGAAGGGTCAATGCCACATCATCATCAACGAGTGCTGGGTGCGCTCGTCACAGAGACAACACCCCGAAGCATCACCACATACATCCACGACTACTAATAGAACACACACACAAACACCGACATACACACAGAGCTAGATGATCGTAGCTAACGAGCACGAACGAACGAGGCAGGAACTTATCATTGGGCATATACTGGGCTACCAATGACCTGGCTGCCAGCCATCTCACTTACAACAAAACTTCACACAGACGGAGTACAAACAACCATTGAAATTCCAAAGACTTTTTTTAATACCGTAGCTTTCGCTGCTACCAATTCTACCGCGAGTTTCATCTCATCTCATGAAGCCAAGATGGCTCCCTGTGTACCAATAGGCAAACTGCCAACTCGCCATCCATCGATTGCTTGCTTGCTTGCTCAATGCAACAACATGCCAACCGCGCCACCAACGCCAATCATCATCGTCTCCCTCCTTCAAGGATCAGGATAGACCAGAGAAACCAAGCCAAAAAAAAACACAAATGTCCTCCCGTTTTCCTTTTTTGCCCTTGGGGTATCACATAGGTAGGTAACTGCGCGCAACTCTCAAAACTTCCCTCCTCCGCTTACTTGCCGGAGGTGGGATCAGGGAATGCAAAGCCCGCCGGGAAATTGGGCATGCCGTTGGGCAGGGTGCCGATGCCGAATGGAAATCCCGCCGACATGCCCTGGTGGTTGTCCCTAGGGCCGTCCCGGCGATCGTCCCGTCGGTGGTGGGCCCCGTTCTGGTTGCCGCCGTTCTGGTTGCCGCCGTTCTCTCGGCTCCGGCGCCATCGGGTGGGGTCATCATCCCGGTTGCGGGTCGACTTGGGTCCGTTGCTACCGCCCTTGTCGGTCTGCATGCGTCGGCTGATGGCCTTGGACGAAACACCCGCTCCAATCTCAATATCGGGCTCCTCCACGCACAGGCCTGTCTCGATGGGACGTCCACCGCTGCCGCCAAAGGGGGCTGTCAACATCCACTTGCGATCGGCCTCGGTGAGCTTGTGGATGGGGATAATGCTAATACCCGTCGAGTAGTCACTGCAGTCTCGGGGACCAAAACCAACACCCCAGCGAGTCTCGGGAACTGTCAGCTTGAGTCATAGCGTCGGGAACGGGTAGATACTTACACGAAGAAGCAGGGTCTGGTTTCTTGACTCCTCGGTGCCCTCCTTGGCACTCTCGGCATCACGCCGTGTGAGCATCTTGACAAAGGCATGTCGCTTCTCCTTGTTGACGATGCAGGTTTGCACGGTGCCAAAGCGGCTAAAGATGCCGCGCAATTCGCTCTCGGGGCAGCTGATTCCTGGTTAGCAAACATAGTGTCCGGCGCATCCAAGACTGGCACTGTACTCACTTTACTCCACCCACGAACAGGGTTCGACTGTACACCTTGATGTGTCCAGATGGAAGAGTCGGATCGAACTCAATCCACTTCTCGCCCTGGCTATGGTCATGAGGCGGGCTTGGGCTTCGGCCACGGCGTCCGGGAGGGCTTCGCTGGCGGTAGTCGCCTCCGCGTCGGTCATCGTGACGGCCGCGGTTGGGCGACTCATGTCCATACTCCATCCGATCACGTCCATTGCGAGGCGAGCCTCGGGCAGCCCAGCCACGGTCTGGAGATCTTGATCGAGATCGTCCATGATATCTTGGAGGAGATCTTACATGGGCATAGTCTCGGTCACGTGATTCATCTGGCTTCCCCAACGGGCCACCCCATGCAGGTTGACCAGGAACATGAGAGTTCTGGGGTAGAGGGAGATGCTGCTGGCCCGGAGAAGCCGCTCCCGGAGCCGCTCCCGAGGTCATGCTCTGGATCAGGGCGGGAATCTTATCAAACGGAACGCCTTGATCAGCCAGCGCCTTGATCAAGAGAATCTGCTGCTGGGTGTTGGGATCAAGGCCTAGGCCAGGGGCCGAAGCACCGGGAATGGGCGCCCCGGGCACGGCCCCGCCAACTGGGTTGGCCGGATTACTCGCATTGTTAGGTAGAACACCTGGAAGGGCACTGTGGCCCGGCATCTGCGGGAGGCCGAAAGGAAGAGACGGCACATTCACAGGCTGCGAGGTCGGGGGATACGACACGGGCGGAAGAGCCGATGATACTGGCTGCGGCGGCCCAGAAGCCGGCAGACTATACGATGCCGTAGGGGCGGGAAGGGGAGCGCTGGCTGGGGGAGCACTGGTGTTTTGTCGTGCAATATTAGCCAGAGCCTCCAGGATGGAAGAACCATTGGGGGCTGGGAGAGCTGGGGCAGCTGGAGGAGCAGTCGAGTGGCCCTGGAATGAGGCCAGCACACTTGGAGGTGGGCTACCGGGGGGAGTCGTCGATTCGTCTGCGCGTCACAACGGTTAGATTGGATATCCTCCTCAAGCAACACAGCAGCAGCGTCAAGGTGTTGACCCTGACGTGATGCTGTCCGAGGGACAACGTACTCTGTGGTGGTGCATTGAGCTTTTCCTTGAAAGACTCAATCATTGGCATGGGGAACGTCTGTCCCTTCTCCCAGATATCAAGAAGCTTCTTAATCTTTTCCTGCACGCCGCGCGATATGTGAGTTACGATCCAAACAAGACGAGACAATACGGGACCAAGTAGGTCATGAAACGAGACGGGCTCGTAGCAGCGCCTTTGACGGCGCTCCACGGGTTGCGGCACATGGTTTTCGATGCCAGCTACAGAAGGGTAATGTTGCAATGCAAGTTTCAAAGATGCGTACCTTTTGTTCCTCCGGGGCGGTTTGCAGAATGTCATTCATCAAAACGGGCATGAGTTCCGTCACTCGATGGACACCAGCGGCATAGGTTCCATCCTGGGCAGAGCTGTTTATTGCCTGTGCCTGAGCCTTGGCCTGTTCGAGCCATTTCCGGGTTACAGAGTCTACGACGTAGAGTACCCCCAACTTGTGTGTTCCTGGAGCCTTCTTGAAGTGTGTGTAGATCTTTTGGATGAGAACCGATTCGGACTGTGGAAGCAAGACGAGTCAGACGCTGCGGAGCAAAAACGAGAAGCAGCTTGGTGGAGAATCTTACCTGGATGTTGGACACGCAGAGCGAAGTCAGGCTGGTGATGCGAGATCCGGAAACGCCTGGTGGCTTTAGGTTGAGCATTGCCTGGAGGCCGACCTCCAGATCCGCGACTGCGGACGCCATGTTGTCAGGAACTGTAGTTGCCGACGAGCTACGCGCGATGCCTCAATATGCACTCCAGGGAAGATGAGATCCGGAGCGGAGATGTCCAGGTATGGGCGAAACCACGCTTTGGAGGAAGCCTGTAGCACGAGAGAGCAGAGACGAGAAGAGTTTTCCCCAGTGCGGTGTTTCTTTTTTGGCCGCGTTGTTTGGTACGAAAGTTCAGAACCCTTTTACGCGATCGCGACTGGTGAAGTGTACGAGAGCAAAAAGCCTGCGGTGCAGATACGATAGAAGGCAGACCTCAGGAGTACGGTACGGTACGACTTGCGCGAGAGAAAAGCTCTTCTACTGTTGCGTCAGGAGCGCGACGAGGTCACAAGATGCTGAGTGATCTGCAGCGGCGAAAGCCAACCAGACCGTCTAACAGATGGCCGTCAGTACTAGACAATGTCGAGAAAAGTGCACGAGAATGAAAGCGCCGATGATGGCAGCTGTTGCCTTGATGGGCGTCGTCGTCGTTGATGCTGTGTCTGATGGCCGTCGTGAGGTGACGATGATGGAGTGATGAGGAGGGAGGAAGAAAAGGTGATGCGAGGAGTATGACAGGTGGAGCACGTGCTGAGAGCCGCGGTTGGTCAGAGGCAGCCTTCGTTCTCCCACTTCCCGCGGTTTCTCCGAAACGGCACCTGAGGCAGCTCAAGTGTGAAAATCTTGCAGTTTGTTTGAGGTGGGGGGGGGGGTGGTCACGTGAATTATAGCCGGGCTGTTACTCAAAGGGTAGGTGCGCCGTATATCCGCGTTGATGCCGAGAGACGCCTCTTTTGGCGATCGATCCAGCACTGACTAAGAGATTAACAACAACGACAAACTACGGCCCTGCAAAGAGGAAGGCAATCCCGTCAAAGCGCGAATTACGGCCGAGCCTGCCTACGAGGTAAAGACAAGAGAGAAGTGCGTTGTTTTAATAGCGCTCGGTCATCAGTCACCGGAGAGAAAAGAGCCAAGGATGTCCTGGATGGCATGGGCGGCCTGGGCCACAAGGCGCCCCGTGAGATGCATGGCTGATAATTAATAATGGAATCGCACAGGACAGGGCCCACGATACACGACGAGCGTCTCTGTTGGAGACTGGCAAGCGCGGAGGCAACAAGTAAAAGCCAATTGATTACCGAGTCCTGGGAGGTTGGAGGAATAGCCGACAATGACGACTTATCTGCGACTGCGACTGGACTGGACTGCGAGACTGCCGAGCTGACCGGGTGATCGGAGACCCTGTCCTGGAACCAGTGCCTGTCGACAATCAGGGCACGACATTTTCAGATCGGATTGGGGGAACGTCTGTCTCTTTTAGACCACGGCAGCTAGGACAATCGGAGAACGTGAGGGGCAATCGAGAGCTCGCTTCTCCTCACGGTCAGCCAGCTACGCTGGATGGGATCGCTGTCCGGATGGAGGGGACTTCGGCACTCCGAGCCAGCGCCGCAGGGCCCTTCGGAGGCCCGGCGGCGGCAATGGGGTACGGGAGATCCGGACGCCCTCCACTCCAAGATTGTCCACACAGAGTGCTTGGCCGCTTGCTCTGGACCCGCCGCTGGGGACCATGGAGGGCGGGATTGGCCAGCCATTCGATGAGCTCCGTCACGTCCACGCTGCTTCCCTGCGACGTTAGCAGGAACCCATCTGACGTCAAAGCCAACCCGCGACGCTACGTCGCAGCAGGACGACATGTGGCCGAGGTCCCCCGAAGCATGAACGAAGGAGAACATCTCCACTTCTTCGTTCGAAGGGGGCAGGCAGTGCTCTTATCAATTCTCGGTCTGCCAATGGAGCCCAGAGGCATAACCGAAAAATGATGGAGCAGGACGGGATGCCCTCCAGTGATTGCTGCACCCCGGGCGCAAACAGGATGTACCGGTACGGCGCAGTTGGGTACTGTAGGTTGTCATGATGGAGTCGCGAGGGCAACGCAACGGGGGGACCTGGTCAGCAAGATCTTGAATGCACCGTCACGTTTCTTCTTCTGCCCCGGTGAGTCTCGCTACGGCAAGCTCCTGAGCTGCACTGCGTAGGATTACGTAGGATGAAATGCTCACCTTTTCTCTGGGAGAGCACACGAACACCCTCCTGTTCCTCAGGGCTGCAGCCGCAAGCCCTCAAGATCGAGCCCTCCTCACTATCCCTTTGCCGACAGGACAACACACGCACAAACCCCAGACGGGAAACTGGTGGAAAGCTGTTGGGGCTGCGTCTCGGTCACTTGGGGGACGGCGTCGAATTGGAGGAGGCGTCGAGGGGCAGACCAGATGGATTGGACGGAAATTTTGGGGCTTGCAGGTTGGGGGTGGTGCAGCAGCCGCGGCAATAATCCTTGACTGAGGACTGTGCAATCTCACTAAAAAAAAAAAACAGAGACAGCAAGGAGTGCAGGTGGACATATAGGTCCGGGACACAGAGAGGTCAGGAAAAGTCGGTAGCAATTGATGACGGAATGGGGAGCTGGGCACGTCAGAGGAGGGATATCTGTATGGCTCGGTAACAACCTAGCGAGACGAGGGATTGGATGCCATCATGGATCGGATTGGATTGGACTGGGCTGGATGCAAATTCTCCTACGTACAACGAAACGATACAAGATACATTTCCTCATCTGGTACTCTGTCAAGGTGTCCCCGCGAAGGCCAGTTCCGTAACCCATGCCCTGGATGGCCTTGGAGGGCACTCACTGGCTGTCCCCAGAAACCCCCCCTGCAAATCGGCTGCAGCATGACCAAAGAAAAGAGGCAGGCCTGAGGCCCAGGGAGAAGAAAAAAAATTGCCTAGACCCCTGTAGCATGCCCGTCCCTGGGAGAAACCTGCAATTCCCGCCCCGCAAGTCCCGTTACCTGGCGCTCCACGCTGCACTGGTGAGCTCCGCTTCACGGGGCCTTGGCTGTCTCCATGCTTCACGGGCCCCGTCCCCCCGGCCCCCGAGGTAGGTTGAGAGGAGGAGGAGGAGGCGTTGAGAGGGTCACGGGCAGCTACTAAGTAGGTACTGTACGTAGGTGTGCTGTAGGTGTAGGTGTATGGATCCCGTCAATGGTAATGTCTTCGGCCGGGGCGGGACATGCCTGAACCAAAAAAGCAGGTATTTTTTTTCTCCTCGGGCTCCCGTCCAAGTCGAACCTGCGCCTTTTTATTAACCTCGTCCTCCCCTTAAACCTTTTCTCCCCTCCTCTCATATACCGTCCTCTTCCTCTCCCGGCACCTCCGCCACTTGATCTGTTCCTCTTCTTTGCATCATCACATCTTCTCACAATGGCTTCTGTTACCCGTCTCAGCAACGCTGCCCTGCGGGCTACCCTCCGCTCCTCTCCCGTCAATGGCTCTGCCTTTAACGCTGTGCGATGCTACTCTGCCAAGACCCAGGTAAGCATGCTGTCTTTGAGCCCAATGGCTCTCTGTATTTGTGCGCAATAGATGCTGACAGTTATCCCTCATAGACCCTGAAGGAGCGATTCGCCGAGCTGCTCCCCGAGAAGATTGAGCAGGTCAAGGCCCTCCGAAAGTCAGTCGCATTCCCCTCCTTCGGCTTATTGTTGGCCGACGCTCGGCCATGTTCGGAGCTTGAAGCACGGGCATGTGCTTTCAGCGCCGGCATAGCATGTGAGCAACAAAATAATTGAGCACTCGAGCTGACATGCATGTACAGGGAGCATGGCTCCAAGGTTATCGACAAGGTCACCCTCGACCAGGTCTACGGTGGTGCCCGTGGCATCAAGGCCCTCGTCTGGGAGGGTTCCGTCCTCGACGCTGAGGAGGGTATCCGATTCCGTGGCAAAACCATTCCCGAGTGCCAGGAGGTTCTCCCCAAGGCTCCCGGTGGCAAGGAGCCTCTTCCTGAGGGTGAGTAGATACGAGTTGTATATGTGCGCGTGCCATTGTGTGCTAACGTCAAACCCTTCAGGTCTCTTCTGGCTTCTCCTGACCGGCGAGGTCCCCACCGAGCAGCAGGTCCGCGACCTCTCCGCTGAGTGGGCTGCCCGCTCCGACCTCCCCAAGTTCGTCGAGGAGCTCATCGACCACTGCCCGACCGACCTCCACCCCATGGCCCAGTTCTCTCTGGCCGTGACCGCTCTCGAGCACACCTCCAGCTTCGCCAAGGCCTACGCCAAGGGTATCAACAAGAAGGAGTACTGGGGCTACACCTTTGAGGACTCCATGGACCTCATTGCCAAGCTCCCCAACATTGCTTCGCGCATCTACCAGAACGTCTTCAAGGGTGGCAAGGTCGCTCCCATCCAGAAGGACAAGGATTACTCGTTCAACTTTGCTAACCAGCTCGGCTTCGGCGACAACGCTGACTTTGTTGAGCTCATGCGTCTGTACCTGACCATCCACACTGACCACGAGGGTGGCAACGTCTCTGCCCACACCACCCACCTCGTCGGCAGCGCTCTCAGCTCTCCCTTCCTCTCTCTGGCTGCCGGTCTTAACGGTCTTGCCGGTCCCCTGCACGGCCTGGCCAACCAGGAGGTGCTCAACTGGCTTACCGAGATGAAGAAGTCGATTGGCGACGACCTCAGCGACAAGGCCATCACCGACTACCTCTGGTCCACCCTCAACGCCGGTCGCGTTGTTCCCGGTTACGGCCACGCTGTTCTCCGCAAGACTGACCCCCGCTACACCGCCCAGCGCACCTTTGCTCAGCAGAAGATGCCCGACGACCCCATGTTCAAGCTCGTCAGCCAGGTCTACAAGATCGCCCCCCAGGTTCTCACCGAGCACGGCAAGACCAAGAACCCCTACCCCAACGTCGACGCCCACTCTGGTGTCCTCCTCCAGTACTACGGTCTCACCGAGGCCAACTACTACACCGTCCTCTTCGGTGTGTCGCGCGCCATTGGTGTCCTTCCCCAGCTCATCATCGACCGCGCCTTCGGTGCTCCCATTGAGCGACCCAAGTCTTTCTCCACTGAGAAGTGGATCGAGCTCGTCAAGAAGCTGTAAGGGGATAAAAGCAAAAGGGGAAAAGGACGAGGACGGCATGTTGTGGAATACGAGGAGGACAGCCAGGAGATGGGCAGAATGGATTGCCAACTCGGTGGCACTTGTACAATACAACGGGACTGTTTTCGTTTGGTAATGAGAAGTCGTCGCAGGAGCGGCGATTGAAATGAAATGATTTCCAGTTTAACTATTTGCCTACATTGATGCCTGTGAGAAATGAATGAATATCTTGATCAATTGAAGGTCTTGTGAAGCATGAATTATTGAATTCTAATTTACTATCGTATTATCATGACCGTTGATGCAAAACGGATTGTGTGCCGATCACTTACCATCCCGCAATGGCGTCCGCCATGTCTTTAAATTTTTGACTCGCGCGCAAGCGTTGACCCCAAAGCTTCAATTCAACGGTACCTGAGCCATCGGTACTAAGATCAAGCCAAGTGCAAGTACCGACCATGAGGAGCTCGCGCACAGGCCTTTCTTTGGCCCCAAAAGCTTTCCCCTCCAAAAGTGCGAAAAAAAGGCCCCCTTGTCGCAAAACAGAAACAAGAAAAAAAAGCTCGGTGAGAGATTACACCGATGGAATCCGGGGGTGGTTCAGGGGTTGGTTGCTCAACACTCAGCAGTTGGGTACAGAAATGTGGAGGGGCGTTGAGGGGACGAGGGTCCTAATTCGATGGATGGGTTTCAGCTCCTGGCAGGGATAGAAAGAAGCTGTTTGTTGTGTTGGAGTTTTTCGAGGCGGTGGCTGAGGTTGATACCTAAACAGGTAATTGAAGGATGGAAGAGGCTGGCTTTCTCCTTTTCGTGATGATTCAAGTGACTTACGTTGGATTGACAGAGGCTGAAGGTTTGTGTGTGTGTCTATTTCTGGTTGAGGTCAGGCTTAGAAGTAGCTCGTATCAGCAACTGTCATCGGAACAAACGATCACAAGTAAAAAAGAATAGCAAGTCTAGAACAGCCGTGAAGCTTCGAAGGAACTGAAGACACCACTATCACAAGCCATTTTTTCGCATCATGTCGGCATCCATCTTAATCCCTCCTGTCGGTAACTGATGGATCTTGCCTTGCACCACTCGGCGCACCCACCCCCGGATTTCACATGGGCTGATGATTCGAGATGGATGGATCTTATCTCACCCGAAATCTCGGCTTCCATCTCAACCTACTGTACGCCAAATGTTTACTCAGATAGAGGTCAGCCAGTATTTGCCTCTTTGGGGTATAAGGTTCAACATCCCCTGAGATGGAAATCTCCTCCCATTTTTATCCTGTAAACGCATCTATCTCGTGTTAAACAACAAGTAAATCGTGCCAAGCAAAGTTTCCCCTGTGCAAAAGAACAGAGCAAACAACACCAGGAAACAAGAAAGACACGTGCAAATCCCTTGAATCGTATTCCCCTCAACCCGGGTTTTCGCGTCCCCTCCAACCTCGGTCTTCCCTCCGCAGTTCTTGTCTGTCTCTGCGCCCCTCCCTCCCCTTCGGATCCTCAACGCACTCCGTACTCGGGCACCCATCCCGATCGCAGTGTTCCCCCAAGCATTATTTTTGTGCTACTGTAGGTGTGTTGCACTGGTAGCTCATCACTTTTCTTGCTTCAACTTGCTTTGTATTGTCGCTGTCTGACTCAGCACATTTTATCCCTCCCACGACCACCACTCACTCACTGCCCATTGGCCTCCCCCCCCACCCTGGCAAGTTTCCACGCACGCCTCTAGCTTCCCACCCTCCGCTTCTCTTTCTCCCTCCTACATACTTTTCCATCTCCCATCTAACACTTTTTTTTGCGAAGAAGCTCCCTTTTCCCTTGGTCAGGGCCCTCATTCTGCGACACATCCCAAAGTCATGGCTGCCATCCGTACCGACCTACCCGGCCCCATTGGGGACAAGAAGCTGGAGAAGAAGCCCATCAAGTTCTCCAACTTGCTGCTGGGCGCCGGCCTCAACATGTTCGAGGTGACCACACTGGGTCAGCCTCTCGAGGTCGTCAAGACTACCATGGCTGCCAACCGAGGTGACGGCATGGCCAAGGCTTTGGGACGCGTCTGGTCCCGCGGTGGTCCTCTGGGCTGTAAGTCGATCAACTCCTTTCCCCTGGCTCCTCGCTTGCTAACCCCCTCCGAGTCTACCAAGGTCTTATCCCCTGGGCCTGGATCGAAGCTTCCACCAAGGGCGCCGTCCTTCTCTTCGTCGCCTCCGAGGCCGAGTACTACGCCCGCGTCGCTGGCGCCTCCGAGTTTGGCGGTGGCATCCTCGGTGGTATCACCGGTGGTGTTGCTCAGGCCTATGCCACCATGGGTTTCTGCACCTGCATGAAGACGGTCGAGATCACCAAGCACAAGATCGCCGCCTCCGGTGTCAAGCCCCCATCCACCTGGCAAACCTTTGGCGACATCTACCGCAAGGAGGGTATCCGTGGTATCAACAAGGGTGTCAATGCCGTCGCTATCCGCCAGATGACCAACTGGGGTAGCCGCTTCGGTCTGAGCCGTCTCGCCGAGGGCTGGATCCGCTCCGCCACTGGTAAGAAGGAGGGTGAGAAGCTCGCTGCTGGTGAAAAGATCATTGCCAGCGCCCTCGGTGGTGGTCTCAGCGCTTGGAACCAGCCCATCGAGGTCATCCGCGTTGAGATGCAGAGCAAGAAGGAGGACCCCAACCGTCCCAAGAAGATGACGGTTGGCAACACTTTCAAGTACATCTACGAGAGCAACGGTGTCCGCGGTCTGTACCGTGGTATCACCCCCCGTATCTCTCTGGGTATCTGGCAGACGGTCTGCATGGTTGCGTTTGGTGACATGTGAGTTTCCCCACAGCCAATCAAGTCGGCTATATACTAATCTAATTCAACTACAGGGCCAAGGCTTATGTCGAGAAGCTGACCGGCGATGCGGTGACTGCTAAGCATTAGAAGGCGTTAGGGGAGCGTTATAACATGGCTCAAAGGGGGTTTATATATGGGTCGTCAGTTCTATATGGTTTTGGATTTGGGTTCATGTAACGAGTGATGCGGGTCGGTCATGTCCTGTATCAAGGAGACGCGCGTATGCTGTATGCTTTTACTGTGTGGTCTCTAGCTGTAGACGAGCTCTCAGCCCTATGGGTTGGTCAAAATAGACGGAAAACATGTGCGCATCTTGTGGTGGCGTTTCACTCGCAGTTGAATTGGGGTAGCTTCGGCAGCTCCTAAGGTATGCAAGAGCTGTAGTGGTGCATAACTATTCGCGAGGTGCATGCTCATGGCTGTTTCAGTCACACTGTTGCCATTGCTTTCCTCATTGAAGGTATCGACCAGAACCTAGAAATCATCTTAAGCTCATTAAACACTGACCTCACGAACAGAGGCTATTCTGACTTCCGGAGCGAGGTCGGAAGCTCAGCCGCGGCTGTCGGGCCGTCCCGGGATGATCAAGGGCGAGGTCGGAGATCTATTGACGCAGCTTACCCGGTAGGCAGAGCTGATGGATTCAAGTTTCAAACATTCGTGGAAAAGGGCCCATGTGTGGGTTCTTTTCTCCATCTGGGGTTGGGGCTGTTAATATCCCGCTATATGGAGCGCAGTTGGCTAATACCTCAGTTACAAACGGACCAACTAGAATTTATAGCCATATGGGTTTATTAGCAAGAGATAGTCATTTCTACAAAGCGTTAACCGGCTACATTGTGCCGTGATATGTAATCCTAACATGAGGTGTCCTAAACACCAAGTAGCTCATCGGGCATCTCCTCATATCTAAACCCCCAATCCTCCTCGACGGTAAGCAACGCACCAGCCTTGACGAGCTCGTCCATCTCCTCGCTCGGCAGCTGGCCTATATCTAAATCTCGGCCCTGGTTCTCCGTGTGGGCGGTTTGAAGGCGCTCGTCCGGGGGTCCTGGTTGCTTGACCCGGCGCACGGAGCGGCGCCGACCGCCGAGGCTAGCGGCTTCGCTGTCTTGCTGCTGGCGCTCAAAGTCGGCTAGGAGGGGTAATGACGGGTCGCCGTCAAGGTGCGCATCGCGGCGAAAGAAGCCTGTTGAGGCGTAATCAGGTCCCTGGACGGCGCCGATGACAGGATTATTTGTTAGAGAAAGCTGTTTGGTGTCGAGGTATGTGCGACGGGTGTAGGTACCGATGTCGCAGTCGGAGAGGTCGGAGTCAGACACGGCGTCGTCGTCCGAGTCGGCGCCGGGTGGGTCCGGCTCGGGGTGCGGGATGAGGGGTTTCGGTCGGCGGATTCGCCGAGTGGTCCCGGGGAGGGTCATGAAGTGCGACTCTGGCGTGTCGCGCTCGTCCACTGAGAGGACAAAGACGCGGCCTGTCGCATCTCCGATGGCGAGCTTGGAGCTATCTGGGGAGAATCCGCCATAGGCGATCGGTCCGGGAGCCGTGAGGATGTCTCGCACAAAGGGCTTTTTTCCCTTGCGTACGTTCCAGACCTTGATGACGCCGTCGCTGGACCCAGTGTAGAACCGATCCGGCGAGGTGCTCCACGCCGTAAACTTGACGCCTGTGTCCTCCTTTTCTCGGTCGCCGTAGTATTCCTCTATCGGCTTCCCATGCCGGAGAGTATGAATCGGCTTGTCACCTTGGGCTGTGTCCCATACATATACCTTGCCATCGGTGCACGCAGCAGTGACGTAGGCGTGAGCGACCGAGTTTGGCATAATGGTAAGCTCGTTAATATCTGAAGCATAGCAGTCCAGTGCCTGGAACTGGCCATATCCTCCATCCGCGCGCTCCCTATCGCGCTGGAAGACATGTACCTGCGTTCGGATCTTGTGGCCAACCACATTCAGGCCCGTGGGCGTGGTGGCAATGATGAAGCGTTGCAGGTTCGGGTGCCATGCGACTTCAAAGACGTTTGCCGTTGAGGCTGTCATGACAGGGATGCGACAACCTGTCTCGGCATTCCATAGTGTAATCTCTCCAGAGTTTCTCTTCTCTTCGGGAATGTCGTGATCGTCGCCACTGCGGCTACGAGGGGAATATCCAACTAGAAGTAGATGCTGTGTCCCTGGTGCTCGTCCCCATTGCATGGTGGCTGGAAAGTAAGCCCACTTGTCACAGCCATCAGCATCAGTTCGTGAGCAAGAAAAGGTCTGGTAAGGGCTGTCGGCAATGTTATTCTTGTTGACGGTGTAAACTCGCACAGCATCCGTGGGAGAGTCTGCGGCCGTGGCTACGCGGCCGGAGCCATCCTTTGCGGCAGCTACAAAGTTGACGTTGCCAGTGTGCTGCCATGTCGCAATGGCTTTCATGTCCTCGCCGTTCGGGTCAACCTTCCACACCTTGACCGTCTTGTCAAAGCTGGAAGTGTAGGCCAGATCATTAAGCTGGTCGTAATCTGATGACACGACTGACGAGTATAGCCATGGGTCTTGACTTCGGCGCATCGCCTCTGTAGAATTCTCTCCCTTTTCAACATGTGGCCGTGGTATTCGGTGATCGGGAAAGGCGCGCAATGTGCCCTTGCTCGTAGAACAGAGGAGCAAGTTGCCCGGCTTGTTGTATTGTTGGTTGTGTGTATCGGAATGCGCCGTGGTTCCGCAGAGAAAGCTGTTGTTGGAAACCCATGCACCAGTTGTGATATCGCCTGCGCAGTTAGTAAACTCGGCCACCACCTCGAATTCGTCCTCGCGCAATGTCTTGAACTCGTTCTGAAAGTTGACGTATTTTCTTGTTTGGTGAAAGCCCTTGTTTCCGTACAACTCGCGTGCTAGAAGCAGTGACGAAATCTGGCTGGTTCGTTTCGTTTGGGCCTGTTGTTTGCTGGGCCCTTCACTTAATGATAACACTCGGAGGTTGTTAGGGGATGTGGCCTGTCCCGCTAGCAAGTCCGAGCAGAAGTTGCGAATGTCCTCCATAGATCTCCCCCTGATGCCGTTTCCAACTAATGTTGGGATGTTGTATTTCACACATCGTTGCGCGAGCGCTTCGCATGTCGCTGGGATGGGTATTGGTTCGTATGCTGAAAGAGATTTGGCGATTTCGGCAACTTCTTGGGCGGTGAAGTCGACATGGTAGGCAGTGGGTTGTGAGACGACTGTTCTATTAACCCTCACCGGCTTCTTTGTCCCCTCCTCGATGGCTTTTCGATCTGATGCTGTTCGATATGGGCGCGCCTCGATTTGGTAGAATATGTTGTTGGGTTTAGGCTCACGCCGCTCTCGGGGCTTGTAGGGTGGCGGTTCGAGGTTTTCAAATGGTGTTGAGGGTTTCGTAGGGGGTGTAGGCACACCAAGAGGCTTCGGTATTTCGGTGCTTATTGTTGCTGGTTTTGGATTCAAAGGTATAGGTTGATGGCGGTATTCCTTCAACTCGTTAGCCACCCTCTCTGTAGCCTCATCCTTTGTCACACCTACTCCCGTTGCCGCGAGCCTCTTGACGCAGTCGCGCGCTTGCGCCCCCAGCCAGGCCTCATCCTGCGGAAGAAGATAACCACCCGTCTCGTCCCATCGCGTGCGAAAGAAGTTGCTCCCGGTGAGCTCGGTGAGCGTCTAGATAGACCCTTTGTTAGCAAACTCTAACCCACATGCCTTGACCGCGGCCTCTCCATACCCCTATCGCAATGTCATTGACGCGGTAAACACTCGCTGGCAGTGTCCCAATAGCCCTGCTGACGTGCGGTACGACCTGTTGGTTTAGACAGTCCTTGACGGGTCTCCAACGCGTCTCGCTGTGATCGACGCGACGGCGCTTTTGGGGTGGTTCGTCGCGGGGTGACGGAATAGTGGTTAACAGCGGGAGCGGCACCACAGGCGGACGGCCGCCACCGTCGTTGAATGGCCTGGAAACAGTCGCTGTCAGCCCGAAACTCATTGGGAAAAAAGCCTGACAGCTTGGATAAGTAAAGAGGGCCAAGATAGGCCGATTCAACGCGTTCCAAGAGGTGATAGCGGAGGCTGGAGGAGTTCACTTACCACATCGCCCCGTTTAGCGGAGGTTGCGAGGTTACCAGGCAGCTAAAGGGCCTAAGCACGGGGATTAGTGGGTATAGAATGCGGAAAAACCTTAACCCGACCTTTTTAGAATGCTAATACTTATAAATCTTAGCTAATACTAGCTTATAAGGTCTTTTAGAGCTATTCGCAGTATATAACTATATTTTAAGTAAAATATATTAACGTACATGATAAGCGAGTGTTACAAACAAGCGAGTGTTACAAAAATCCCAACCTTTAAGATAGGAATAGCCGTAAAAACACAACAAATCGTCTAACCAACCAAAACTAATCGCTATACTCTTCTTCAGATATCGCTACAACTATTTGACATGTTCTTGCATTATGTCCCGTCTTTCCGCATCCTCCACAGCGCCTTTCCCTCGGCCTCGCTGACCCTCCTTGACCACCACTTCTCGACGATTCGCCCTCTACCCGCCCATCTACACTAATCTGATCAATTGCTCCCCTTGCTTCTCCTACTATCATCACTCCTCCTTTCTGTAATCGGGTCCTTTTTGCCCTCCGGCGTCGACTTAGCAGGTCATTTGCCTGTCGAAGGTCGCGGTTCTCTGCCCTCAATAAGGCATTCTCATGCATCATTGCCTTTGTTCCCTTAGCAAGTGACTTGAGAGCTCCTAGGATCGACTCTGGAGAGCTACTTTTATGCCTTCTGATTCGTCTATCGAGGTATTCAGACTGAGATTCGGCCTCAAGGACCGTCTTTGGCGTCTTTGAAACCTATGTGGTAGGGGGGCCGGCCTCCTCCTCAACCGGCGTCGGGGTCCGTAGCTGCACATCAAGCTTCGAAATCACGCTTTCCGCGTCAAGTGGAACAAGTCTGGCCCCTCTAAAAGCCGCCTTGATGGCTTTCTCCGTCATAGTGGCCTGGAATGCGGCGTAAAAGGCGGCAAAGAACTCGGTCTTGGAAACGTGGGTTATCGAGCATCGGATCAGATGCTCGATTTCTCGACCATATGCCTTCTTGAGTAGGCTAAAGTACCCGACATCAAGGGGCTGAAGCAGGTGAGACGAATGAGGCGGCATACAGAGTGTAACAATCTTGTTCGCCTGGCAATATTTCTCAAACTCGAGAGAATGGTGACTTTCGTGGCCATCGAGGATCAGAAGACGATAACGACCGACCGATCGCGTCTTTGTACACCGGTCAAAGTGCTTCAGCCATTCAAGACCCAGCTCATTATCGGTC